TTTTTTTTTTATTCTTCTTACTCGTAGTAGAAAAAATATCTACGAAATAGATACATATTACGAATTAAATTGAAGTCTGCGCTGCCATCTGAAGACCAATTATTTTATCAATCTCATGGAATAATTTTTTAAACATATCATTCAAAACATTTTCATTCATTAAAAGTACGCAGTAGAAGAGAAGTTTATGTTTATAATAGCTCGGTTGCACTAATATGCAAATAAAGGGACTATATTTAAATTAATCGTTCCAAAGTAACGAACGATCCTACTTCATGTTTTACGCCGCGATGCTTGAAATTAACGAGACTATTTTACTCGGAATAAAAGAAACAGAGGCCATCAAGGAGTCGTCGTGTCGAGTATCAATTGAAATGCAATTCGATCCCATCTTAATGAAAACATTCCGGCCTTTAACGAAACAGTAATTTTTTTTCCAACGAATGTCAGTCTGAGTGATAATCAAACATTCTTATTATAATTAAATATCTTATAATTGTCTTGTATATTAATAAACAATATAAATAACAATACTCGATATGATACATGTGAAGGACACATCTCTTCCAATAACTGGCGATATAATAAGTCTTCATCTATCATCATTCGATATATGTATAATATTTATAATCAAATAATTGTACTGTCTTATTCCAGTTACCTTATCATCGCAACACTCGTTAAAGAACAAGAATAATTCATTTTGCGAATTTCGAAATCAATATTTGAACTTAATACCTAACCTAACCTAAACCTAACCTTAACACGCAGAAGAGGATTCTTTATTAAATCTTGCTTATTGAAAAACAGACTGACACAACCCACACAACAGAACCAATAATAAAGGAACTAGGAAAGATATTCACTGGAAATAGAATTTACGTAACAATGGTGCCAACTATAAGATCATCAAGGCTACTTTACACAATCGTAGAGGAAGCTAAATGTCTGTCAAATGTCTTTGGTCATTTCTTAATAATATCGATGCATTGTAAGTGGGTGCAAAGTCTTGTGAAGTTTTGTTGCACAGTAAAAGTAGCGCGAAAAAGAAGTGTCGCTGTGGGTAAAGAAAAAAGGGTAGGAAAAAGAAGATCTTTTCGATTTTTCGCTCGGCGACAGAAGTAATTTATTATAGCAACCTAGCGAACAAGCGTGCGGGGATTAGATTTTTGCGCAATCCTCGTTTGTTGATAGAGGAAGAAGCGCTATTGCGAGAGGAAGTACATAGATGTGGAACGTTATTCGAGGTCTTCTCTTCAACTCTTTTTAACATTTTTTCTTCCATTTTTTTTTGATGACATAAAATTTTTAACGACGTACATTATTTCTATTAAATATCTTTTTACTTTTTTTTTTTAGAGAGGCAAAGATTGTTTACCGGCCTTGTTTTAAAATAATTATCAGTTATTGTTTAAGAAACGGAGCCAGTAAATCTTCCAGTTTGATAAAGACAGTATCTGACAAAAATTCCAGGTTAAGGAGGAACGCCGTTTCATCGGTAAAACGACGAAGAGTTTGAAGAAGATAAATTGAACTTATGTAGAATTACGTCATAGACTGATTAGTGTTTTCAGTCGTCTGTGTTTAAGCGCGATAAGAATATAAATTATTTCACGATATATCAGGTCGTTCGGATTAACCGAAAGGCTTACGGTTCAATCGATGGTAATTTTTTTTAATTATATTCTAATTACACTTTTCAATTTTTTAAATTTTTAATTACATTTACATTTTACATTTTTAATTACATTTCTAGGAATAAGAATAATTCATAATGCATCGTACATTCGTTTCTAAGTCACCTCCCGATCGTATCGTTCTCACACCAAGCAAGATCCAATTGTCGATCGTAAAATTCTCTTCAGTTTCATTTAGTAAATTCCAATGGAAGAAAGATTCTCATATTTATCAGAATTGTAATAAAATTGGAACAATTTTGAAAGGTACATTTCTACATATTTTCCTATATTCGTATTTCCAAATCTATTAGTCTCATTATCGTAGTATAATCATTTATATTGTGTGGTCGTTTCGTTTCAAGCAAAAAAAGCAGAAAAAATTGAAACACAATCTTTAACCCCATTGTGGGTGACAGAGGTGATAAAGCATTATCTATAGATATTTTTTTATCACTTTTTTCCATCCATTTAAATACGTATATCCGGCTCAAAGAAAAAAGATCAAATGTTCTGCTTGCAGAAGTAAAAAAAAAGGATGTTACACATTCGTGTATGTGTATGTTCATTTTATAGAATGTATACGGATGATGTCATGGACAGAAGTGTTGATAGGAACGAGGGCATGTTAAGGAAATACCTATAAAAGTATAACAAAAGAAGGAGAAACATTATTTCTTTTTATGAAGACATCATCGTTAACTTTTCAAAGATATTTTAACACAAGCTGGATAAAAACGGACAGAAATATTTATGACATTGTTCAGAAATTTAGTATATAACCGCTATCTATTATTCAATATTGTTTACTTTATATTTTTTACATGCAGATTTTAAAAAGCGACTAAAAGTTGTTGAAATAAAAACAACTCGTTCAAGAATTTTACAAGAATTTTAAGAAATTTACAATTCCTTTTATGAATACCTTTAAATGAATACCTTTAAATGAATACCTTAGAAAATTGCAATTAAATATTGGAAGGAAAGATCACAGAACGGAGATTCAGTTCAATAAAAATTAATTCGACGTGTGCAGTCCGTAGAGAGAGAATTCATGTTATCCACCTTTGTTTCACTCTTCAGACATTCATTTACGTCCGCTTGTGCGCTTCTTATATATAGCTTCAGTTGCACGGTCACGCCTATTTTAACTGTATGCGAATACACGTATATATACACTCGCCTGCACCATACAGAAAAATATGTACATTCGAGGCACATATTTATACAATTAACAATCTTGCTACGGCTTTAACTGATTTTATTAAAAAAAAAAAGATCAACACGATCCAAATTTAATTAAAATTTAATTTAATTTGATATTTGGTTTTATAGAGAAAAATATTATTATACATATTGCCTGGCAAAAATTGATCATTTGAGACGAGATTATAATGATGGTCCAAGAGATCATGATATGACCATTTAAGCGTGTATACAAAGAGCACAAGGTCACTAAATAAGACAGATTCTGAGAATGTAACTTAAACCACGGCTCCTTGCCTTTGTATCAATTCATATGTTGAGAATTGAAAGCTAAATAATCTTTGTTTATAGAACTGATGCATCACTTTCTTGAGAAACGCAAGGTATTTATAATTCTGAAAAATACATTGCAAAGCGTACACGAAGAATTAGAGAATTGTGTGCAAGTGATTTTCTT